CGAATCGGTCTATGTAGGGCGGCAAGGGGAAATGGATTTGGCCTTTAGCCTCAGGCGAACCCGGAATCATCGTGAAGATCAACATCGTTTTGACTTGAACATGATCAGCATGACCATTATTAACTACAGAAGCAACGCCAGTGGAAAAAAAGCTTATCGTTAGCATTTGACATTTGCGCAATTATATGACCGGCAAGGCAACGCTACAATCGCGTTCCTGTGAAAACGAAGAGAGCCTTAGAAAAGCGATAGGCGTTACGGACGATCGGCCGATAAACGATTAGAAATCGATTGCAGGATTTATAGGTTCTAACTTATTAGCAAGTGATCGCATTACGCAAAACCAAGAATGACAGAAGCGGCGCTAACGTCTTTAGCATCGCAGGCGTCACATCACGTTTACGCGTCTAGCGATTTAGAGGAATTTTCAACTTCAACAAACACGTGTTACGATCACGAAACGTTAATAGACGCATGAAGATGTAATAAACACAAAATCAAAAAAAAAAGGCACGATGATGTTGCTTATAAATAAAAGAGTCGTTTTCTGACAAAAATACAACGGAAACTAGTGCAAAGCTATTACATATAGTTAGGGATCGAGTGCTTTATGAAAATAAGTTCCATCTTAAAACTAGGACTTTGGATTTGGTAAAGCTTCTAGCACTAGCCACACTATTGGTCATTGGTTCCGAAAAAAACTTTGAACACAAAAAAGAGCTCTGCGGAAAGAGGGATGAATAACAAAGGCTTGATAGCTGTAATAAAAGTCGGCACACCTTAAATTGCATAAATATTAGGGTGTACACAAGGGTAATATGTGTAAAAATATCGTACTTATCTACTCATCTTGGTTAAATGAACAGGGCAGAAAAACTGCACAAATAAGCGGCCACACGATTTAGGCAAGGATCAAAAATAGAGACGCGGAAATATTTTACCCTATTTGCTCTCACATTACAATAGAGACCCAATTTGTGATTTGTAACAAAAAATCGATACTGTCACCCTAATCCAAATATATACCTGCAAAAAGCTTATGGTGCTTGCCTGATAGTCTAGTGCAGGTGTTATCCACTGCAGCTTCCTCCTGATGTATCGACTAACGCTGGGATGTACTAGTAAATAGTGATAAACCGTTACTATTGCACGATAGTGCTTTCTGTCACACATCATACTCGTTAGGCATTGCTCCCACAAATTACCTTTTGTTTCCAAAATTTCGACAACTTCTTATAGAAGATAATTTCAAACCTCAGTTTGTTATTGGAAAGCTTTTTCGAGACTTCATAGACTCTGTACCTTGAACCTCTACGATAGCGAAATAAATAAGTTACCATCTAAATGGCAGAGTGTTATTTTCAATAGAGGTGCATATTTCGATTAGAGGTAAAAGAACGTAACCTGTCAAAAAAGTGTCAAAAAAACACAGCTTATTGAACGACATGATGCAAACCCGGACGGCTTTCCGGAAGAGGAACAAATGACTGGGAAAGAACATAATTTCCGCGTTAATTAAGATTTCAAAGCTGTACCAAGAAAATATTCTAACAGTACACGGAGAAGCGTCTAACCGGCTCAAAGATAAGGCTGTACCGAGGCATACTTGTTCAACATATGGCTGACATCCTTACTACTCCAACATTGTGAAATTTTAGAAGCTTAAATAAATCGTTTTTAATCTCTTTAAACATAAGCATTATTTTCCGAGATAAAAAATTTTTTGTTGAAGTTTCTACTGCTTAATGTGGGTTTATATATATATATATATATATATATATATATATATATATATATAATGCGTAAGGCCACAATCATACCAATATTTAGCTTTCTTGCCGTCATAATCTGCCATAAGATACTGATGTTTACAAACATAAAATGATGATACAATATACATTTGTAACAGAAAGATTTATTTAAAGTGGAGCATTCGACTGCTGTGGGTGTCCCGCTATCAAATGGCGGACTCTCAGCGGTATCAAAAAAAAAAATGTATACCCTAGCAAATACAGCCCTCCATGGTCTCGCTAAAAAGCTGTAAGCCCTTATTCAAGGCACAAATCAGTCCAGCACGATCGGCCGGAGAAAAGGCGCGATTCATCAAGCGCTCGCCATCGAAAATGAGCCTGTCTTAGTGTCATAAGCGCTCATCATTGTCAACAGGGTAATGAAGTCGCAACTCTTGGTCGGGTAGCGATATAGACTGTAAGAGCGCGTTTTGTTTCGGGTTAAGGTGAAAAATGCTCGAGCAAGGGGATCGGCGACATCGTTCAGATCTAAATCAATACGAGCTGGGACCTATATAAATAGAACCTTAAGGCCAGTTCGTTGTATCAGGTGCGGTGCACGCTGGCAAAAGCAGTGCACGGTGGACAAACCAGCAGATCTCTGTTTCAGAAAGCAAAACGTTGAGAGAAAGCTAGTTGGGATGGCTGCATCAGCGCCTGATAGTTCAACAAAATGTTTCAGTGCAAGATCTGTGCTTGTCAGGCCTGCTAATAATACACGTGACGGGATTTCAAAGCAAGACGAGTACGAAGAGATACAACAACTGTATGCATAGATTACTAATTCATCGATGACTACCTTATGGCTAATCCTTGTGAGATCAGCAGTTCAGGACGTTTCGCAGCAGATCCTCGTAACAGGCCTAAATTGACTTCGTTATACTTTTTGTTAGATAGTGGCGTAAGAGTAGCGTACCTAAAGAACATTCAGCAGCATTTTCAAAGTAACATATGATCCAGGGCAGCATGAACTCAATGTGCAGCGGAACAAAGTTTAACAAAAGTAAAGGCACTTTTGATGGACCCTATCCTGAGAGCCACATCGTGAAACATACAGCGTATAAGCACGGCGGTGCGGATCGCTACATGGAATCTTTAAAGCTGTTCTTGTGGCCGAAAGGCCTTGTGTTAATAAGCATTTAGCAAGTCGCATACAGGATACCTTTAATTAATGCTGAAAGATAGCTGGAAGTGCCTCTTTAGAAATGTTGTTTCGAACTTGTTCATATTAAGTGTCGACATCTGCGTAAATCACATACCGACTGGCAGGCATGGCAAACGAAACCTTACAGAAAGCTAAAATCGTTTTTTAGAAACTTTTGAATACGTTCGTCTATCTGCTTCATAACTTTGAAGATGCTGTTTTTGTGGTGGGCAAACTGTTACAAAGCCATTCTATGCGCAACATACAAGTATTGCAGATAGTCGACATCTGCTACAACATTTGGCATAATGGTGGAATCTCTCCTTTAATCTATCCTTTAATTGCGCAAACGTTTGTAACTTGAACAGTTGTTCGTCCATTTGATACCCTGTGTTTGTCACCCTCAAAAATTAGAAAAAAGTCGTCGGCAAAAACAGCTGATAACGTAACAGGCCTATCGGCCATATCGAGATTAGACAGTCTTGGTATCCACCGAAATTTTCAAAGCATGCCGATACATTGATCTGAAGCGTTTTATGAGGCCAATTTGAATAAATATTTTGTAGGAAAACAATTTTTTTTTTGTTATATTTAAACGATGGATAAAAATTAACACAATAACATAGGATGATTGAAACGACGATTGCCAACGATCAGATAGTGCCTGCCATTTTACCATAATATAAAAAACATCTTTTATATAACATAGTACGGTTGCACACTGTAATACCCATCCATACTGCGCATGTCACGCGAAACATATCGTTACTGAGATTATTAATAATTACTGTGGAAAAAATCTTAATCTCTCAAGTACATTGAAACAAGAAAAATAAACTGATTTTTAGAACTTCAAAGCCCTGCTTCAAAAACTCCAGTCATAAAGTTTTAGTGGAATTAGCATACAGTAGTGAGGGATAGTACAATTCAGTCTAATTACCTCTTCACCGTCCTCACAATGGTGCATCGCTAACGTGTTTGCCTGAGATACGTAATGGTCTAGTTTTGAAACAGGGCGCAGACAGAGTTTCAGGCATCTGAAACAACGTTTAACGACAGTGCCGAACACCAACTGGAAGTGTTAATTTTAGTTATAGCTGTAGCGCTTTCAGCCAGCAACAACAGTTTAATAAGAAACAGTTCCAAAAGACCCATTATTGTTATATTCAATATTTAACTCCACATGTAATTGAACGCGGGTAATTGTAAGAAATTTGAAGCTTTTTATTATAAGGTACTAGAAATAAGTTAATAAATCTTTTTCATTTGAATCAGTGTTATATTGACAACAACACTCGAGTTATTAATGATATAACTACATCCACGTACCACGACCAGACAACAGCGATGCTACTTAATTTTATTCTGTCGGAACCAAATTGTGATTGGTTTTATCTACATACATAGGTTTTAAATAGGACTTTTCCAGACGTAAGCATATGCACAGTACGGAACGCCTTTCTTCAAAAATGGTCACTTCCAATTGGGTGTCCTTACTTATTTCTTTTAAAATCATTTATATGCAAAACAAGACAGATTATGTCCGGAAAAATTCTGATCATTTATTTAATCTGTATATACCAATTTATTTCTAAAATTTACTAATATAATGAATCTTAACCGTCCTTTTTTGCACTTATCAAAGCCATGGCATAACTAAATGGCATAACTGGGAAACAGATACAACTGTCGTGTTTATGATTGACAAAAATTAATGACAATTTTAGAAATTATCACAATAAAAGAAATTGAACCTAATATAAATTATTTTTACAAATAGACTAAAAAGGTAATGGAATTGAGATATGGAATTGAGGACATAAGCCCTATCTTTACTTGCGCAGTTAACTATGAGCGATTATTTGCTATGAATTTATTATGATGAATATTTCAAGAAATTCGATTTCGCCTTTCTTTTTATATCGAATTAAATGCTATTTACTAAAAAAAAAAAATAAGATAAAAACCGTAAAGCATACCGACACGGTCAATTTATTATATGGTTATCGTATATGTATGTACATATCTAATGAGTAAGTTCGAACTAAAATATAACACACATTGGAATATTTCTAAAACGTATCTTTGTTTTAGAATATTTCCACTCGTCGATGTTTATTGTTGTAGAATTGCAGACGCATATATATATATTCATCTCAGAAGGTTAACGTGATGTTGTTAGTCTTTCGGTCATATTGGAAATTGTGCGATGCGAACAGTTCACTTTTGTAAAAAGGAATGAGATTGGTGATATTGATTCGGGCAGCCTCACGTTTGAGAGCGTCAGCGTTCACAGACACCTGCTCGGGCTCCACATCCAGCCGACTTCGCTGGAACGCTAATTCCTCCTGAATGAGCTGTTTCATAATGAACAGGAGCAGCTCGTTGTTGTCTTTCTTGTAGGTCAGATAGGACGAAAATGTTTTGGTCATCTGTCGCATAACGGAGAATTTTTGCGTCGACACAAAACTATCAAGCATAACCCGAATTGCTGTATTGACATCGTCTTCATTGACATGTTCACGGAGATGCATTCGGGCGTGGGACTCGGCCAAACGAATAATCGACTCCAAATGACGGATCGTAATTGGCATAGAGCCAGTCGCCATTGATTCGCGACGCAGATCGGAGTACAGCTGGGATATCTTGTCCTGGTCCATCAAGTGAAGCTTTGGTTCAATTTTTTCCCTGGCATAAAGAATGTATTTCTGCAGAAGATCCTGACTGATGCTCTCGTACATTTGCTGAGCTGGTTTTACTTGTTTGTCATCTGCAGTTGCTAGCGGATGATGTCTGGAGTGAGAATCAACGACAAACCGTGCCAGTCTTTCGTCCTCAATAGGATCGACAGTGTCTCGCACGACGCACAGCACGTCAAAACGTGACAAAATTGGGTCGGATAAATTGACGTTCTGGTGGAATGTCATCGATGGATCGTAGCGACCTCCGATAGGGTTAGCGGCGGCTATAATAGTGCAACGTGCCCTAAGTGAAGTGACAATTCCAGCCTTAGCAATAGAGATAGTTTGTTGTTCCATCGCTTCATGAATCGATGTTCTGTCGGCATCGTTCATTTTGTCGAACTCGTCAATCAGACACACACCTTTATCTGCCAACACAAGGGCACCTTAAAATTATACAGATACGTAAGGCTAGAGTTAGTTTAACTATTTCTAATCGAAAATTATGATCTAATTGACCTTTAGTTTTATTCTGGCAGGTATGAAAACGTAATTACAAACGGATTTTCTACTCTCGTCGACCAATTCAACACATACCAGCTTCAAGAGTCCAGTCGCGAGTCACCGGGCTCCTCTTGACATACGCTGTAAGACCGACAGCAGTGGCCCCCTGTCCGGTGGTGTAGACAGCACGTGGAGCGATTTGTTGGACGTATTTTAGGAACTGGGATTTTGCCGTTCCAGGATCACCGCAAAGCAGCACATTAATGTCTCCCCTAATTCGGTGTTTCTGTCCGGGATTCTTAGATACACCACCGAAAAGTGACAAGGCGATGGCACGCTTGATATCATCGTGGCCATAAATTGATGGACCGATCGAAGCTATAATGCGCTCAGCCAAGTTCTCCTCCTTCGAAAGTTTTACAACTTCCTTGACATCTTCATCGGTCAGATACCTGCCTGCAGCCTTCTCATCTTTTTTTAAAATGTGGTTGGCAATAATCACCGTGGCAAACACAGGAAATCCATTCGCTTTGTTTAGTGATCCTTCAAATTTATTGCTATAAATTCCTGTGATTTCAATTTCATCACCAGGTTTACAGGAATCGCAGAGGTCGTTGAGCAAAATAGCATCTTTGGAGCGCGGAAGACGGCCAGCATTGACCTTTCCAGGCGACTCCTGAATTGTGACACGCTGGTAGTCCTGGAAAATGGTCTGCGCCACGTTAACAGAAAATGGTCCCGTGCTTTGACACTCTGGGCAGGAGCTTGGCTTCACTTCGAGATTTTGTGATTGAACAAAAGGACCGAGGATATATTTACATTTGACGCAGTCATATTTTACCATACGCAGCTGTGGTAGGACGCCAGTTGTCGAGGTCACGACGCCTGAAGTGCGAATTAGCTGGTCGATATGAATTTTACGAAGTGTTCGAATTTCTTCAAGAATTGGCAAGTCGGTTATACGCACACGGATTTCATGGTGAATGCGGCCATAATGAGGGAACATACCAACGACAATGTCCTTCGCCGCTTCATCAAAAATAGGGAGTACCTCGGCCGGAGCTTCTGGAAGAAAGAATGCTAGTACCTGTTCCGATTGAGCCAAAGTATTGTAGTCAACCTCGAGGCTCATGCGATTTTGCTCGCACATGGCACGAATCTTTTCTTTATATGTATTGTGGCCCTTGTCATCAACGTGGGTACGAAGGAAGTTTTTGAAACGATTGAAGATCTCAGTCTTGGGACCCAACTGAGTTACCCATTCCTTAACAGTGTGGCCCTTCATATCTTCCAAATTCTCAATTGATTCAACCATATCATCCATGCCGTCATCTTCTTCTCCAGCGGCAGCTCGTTCAGCGAGACGACGACGTCGAGTCGGACGATCATCTAGTTCGCTACTTTCATCTGCAAAACACGAGATCTTTGTAAAGTGCTTGTTGTCGATCATACGAGATACAACAGTGTTTGATTTTACCCTTAAAACTGTGAATTTGACATGTAATGAACTAATAAACAAGCAAAAGTAGGTAAGATCTACCAAAGAGGTAACTTTTGACTAGCTGAACTGTAAATTGCGTTTTTTACCGAAGCCACTTAGGAACAAATGGGTACACAGACAGTGACAATAAATTAATAATCGAGTATAGGTATCTTACCGGCGAACATTTCTAGTCCCCTGGGCAATCGTCCAGTAGCTGTCCTGCCTTCAGCCCGATCTCTTCGACGCATCTCTTCTTCTGCTGCACGACGGTCGCTTTCTGAGAGGGTGCTAAGTTCCGAATTGTCATCGAGCACACGTTCATCATAACGATCGAGCTCAGGTATAGCACGGTAGTCACTTTGATGATTCGGAAATAGATACTATCATGTTAAAAACCAAGGCTCGGTATTGGTTTACTGTTAAAAAGAAATACATCAATACGTGAAATTTCATGGTAGAGCTTTCTTAAGAAAACAACCTTAGAACCAATATATGTTCGCTATACATGCTGGCGATCCCGACGTACTTACTTAGCCATATCGTCGCCGAAGAGATCCTCTCCATCTTCTTCTTCTTCCTCAACCCCATCTTCGTCACCTCCACCTCCATCGATAATGTCCTGCTCGTCCTCGAACGGCGGCAGGTCCCTACCTGGCGATGAGGTGGCGGGATCAAGTTCACTACGTCCACCCTCATTGCCTTGACTCTCAGCTTCAGATGCAGGGTTGGAGCTGCGCGAGTTACGGCCTCCACGCGGCATTGTAATGCGCTACAAACTAAAATCATTCGCACAAAAATAACAAACAAATTTGTCTAGAGTCATACTACGCTCAACACTCACATCATACACTAATTATGATAGAAAAAATGAACCACAGCAACGAAACAAAATGTAATCAGAAAGTTCTAAAAAATATGTGGTGGTTGTCTTTATTGTAATTAACGATGTTTCTATATTACTTGTTAGGCTCTGGAGAACTGTTTTGTACTCCAAGGAATCAATATATGCACCAAAAAAAGGTTGATCTATTTTAGCTTATACAGCGCTAAAGAGAGATTAAACTAATTATGAATCAATTTCAATTTTGTCCTTCTAAGGTAAGTATTTGAATCTTTAATATCTAGTGAACTGAATAAGAAGCCGTGACCCACAGCATTCAATTAAATTATTAAATTTAAAATAAATCATCCTGTCTTTATCATAGTAAAAAGTTTCAGATTCTACTATCACTATTGTATAATATCATACAGGTCTAGATCTAGACTTAACTCATCAGCCTTATGAAGTTCCTGCGGTTGACTTAACTTACTGCGTTTTACCTATTATTTGTTGAAGATGCATTCATGCGTAAAAAAGCTGCAAAGGGCAGCATTTCTATCATTACAGATATATTACGCTTGCTGAACATAACCATTCATAGATGATGATATGCTTAAATTTGCTCACAGATTTCCACGGTATTTTCTTCGCATACATTGACAGAAAACTGTTTTACTCTTGGAAATTACGCAAGCACATAGATAAAACGTTCGAAATTAAGATTAATAAATACTAAATCTTAACATAGCTTAATGGAAGGTAGATTTTTTTTGCAAATGATAGATATTGAACGGGATTCTAAATTAAGTATTAGTTTAAATGCAGTGCAGATGAACGTATGAGTATATAAAACGAAGGCCAAAACGTCATACCAATTACTATTACCTAAAAAATTAAGCCTCCTGCTAGGAGTTAAACATCTGCGCAAAACGTAAAAGAAAATATAAAATCTTAACATTGTAAGCACTTACATGGTAAGCGATAAGCGACTCCGGCGCGCAAGCGGCTTAATTTTGGCGCGATTTGTGGTACGAAGTCCGCGCTAAAACGTGGCACATTTGGGATCCTTCGCCGATTATAGGTTAAGCGTATTTCTATAGTAAGAGTGACATCATTTTATTACGAGAATCAATTCTTTAGAATATTATTCAAATTTGATACTTACCCATAGTACAATAGGTTTCCTTTAAGAAAAAAATCGAAAACGTGCTACTACAGATGGTACCACGTTTCGAAATTGTTCCCAGGTCCGGTGGATCGTCTGTTCGAGCATCCTTTTCTGTAAGGCTTAATTTGGCTGCGCCTGTGCACTGTAGAGTGCAAAAGATTTCGGTAATTTTTCGCATTTATTTTCTTGTGAATTGCGTCTAATAGTCACAAAGTGTCATATAGTGAAGTGCTAATTCCATTGAGAAAATCTCGACAGGGATTTACTAAATTACGACAACTTTGTATTAATTGTGACGGGATGCGTACGTCATGGTTGGTATTGATCTTTATATATTTGTGTGGGTCTCGCACACGTGGAGGTGGCTTTTAGTGGTTTCCGACTTTAGGTTTATGTCGCCGTACATTACAGAGTATCCAGTCATAGTATATCACCGCCAAGCTGAAAGGACTGTACTTTAGGTAATCATCTTGGTCAGGTCTGCCGAAGTAATTCACAACATTTATTGTTAGGCTTATTCGAAATACTATTGTCTCCTCTAATGATCTACACTACACAGGGGTGTGGAATTCGTTTGTTTTTTGTTATACAGTTGTATTTGTACCTAATACATGTGGTGATTACTTACACTTGTTTTTGTTACTGTCCAGACTGATAACAAATCAAATTGATGGTGCGAATCTCGGTCGAGGTGATAAAAGGCAAATGAAACATTGTTAAGACACCTGTCAAAGAATGTCTCGACTATTGACTGCCGATTCCTCACCATAGTGCGGACCTCGCACGATTTTGAACATGTGCATACGAGTAAATGTGTCACAATATCACTAGTGTAGATTTACTCTATCATTAATAATAATAATAATGATTGCAAGCATAGTTAAATTTGAACATGTTAACGGGTCACTCGGGATGAAAACAACATCAGTTGGTACTTTACGAGGCTGATGTTTAAGGACATTCCGAATACTACAGGGATCCTTTAGCTATGGCTCATATGACCAGTTCAGGCCGCTTGAGTCACGCAGGGTATCCCACAAAATCTACTCTCTAATACTTCATAAAGGTTGTAATGGCTCGACAAAATTGCAGTAACTAAATTCGTTATTCCGCGAATTCCCGAGAACAAATCACCCTAAGCTCTGAGAAAGTCTGGTGCTTGGGGGTAAATGAGTCTCGTTACAATAGTAGATCCTTTTGCTACGGTTCAGTTAATCAAATCCACTTTGTCTGGATCACGCAGGGATTCTAACACTGAAAACATTTCAGTTTTCAAGTCTTCGAAGCTCGCTAGCCATCCGGTTCATATCTGAAGAACCGGCTGTCCAAAATTCGCTTCGAATATTAACTGATTTCTCCCATTGGAATCCAACGCTCAGCATGCTATTGTTCCATGTTTGGGATCAAACATTTTCATGCGGATATACACATTTAAACTATACTGAATAATAAGAGTATAATAAATTTTTGACAGTCCGCCTTTCCATATTTAACGAATTGAACTGTCCTATTTAGGTTTTCCACACCGATAGATTAGTACCATTGGAATTCAGTTAGATTTGAGTTCTTTCCATGCGCCGAACCCTTCTAATTGATATACGTTTGACGGCTGACTATTTGAGTGAACGGGTTGAAGGCCGTTCACAGTTGCCCCATAACAAAATAGTCTTCAAAGATTAAATATCTCGTTCAGGGGAAATACAATACATTAAGTATTCCACACGGACAAGCTTAAACAAAATTTCCCAAAATACATTATAGCTTATTATAAAGTAAATAACTTACAAACTTTGTGGAAGTTTTCCAAAGTCCTAGTAACCCGCATTTTATCGACGTTCAGTTTTCGTTGTAAAAGTACAAGTGTAACTACTTCATACCCTTATGAGCAATGCATCTCCCCGTCGGCTGCATCAATCGGAACTAACGTGGTACGCAATGAGCCTACCTTAGCATGATGATGAGGGTTAGCACTTCATGAACTTCACAGTACGTTAAACACTCGAGGCATTCCAAAAATACAAAGATGGACTTATATATACATGCGATAAATACCAAGAACTTATGGTATATCTGTATGTATCTATTTGAATGTATCTATCATTATTATTATTCAATACTTTAATAGCTAAAATTCTTTTGTTTTGATATCCTTCTCTTCCTTGCAGCCAAAATGGTGGCCACAAAAAAGACGAAGAAGGCCCTTGAGTCCATCAACTCTAGATTGGCTTTGGTAATGAAATCTGGCAAATACGTTCTTGGCCACAAGCAGACGTTAAAGACCCTGCGTCAGGGCAAGGCGAAACTTGTCATCATTGCCAACAACACTCCGCCCCTACGGAAGTCCGAGATAGAGTATTACGCCATGCTTGCCAAGACTGGCGTTCATCACTACAACGGCAATAACATTGAGCTTGGCACCGCCTGCGGGAAGTACTTCCGCGTGTGCACCTTAAGCATTACGGATCCAGGAGATTCGGATATTGTTAAGGCCATGCCCCAAGAGGTGTAAATAAAACTGACCGCTTTCTGGTTGTCTGGACAAGTGTGGCAAGAAGGGAACCCTATACAAGACTGTGTTTTTATTATAAGGTACCTGATGCAGTCTACGGCGAGAATAGTAGACCTGCCAGAAGATCTAATTATACGCCCATCCATAGGCGATTCCTGGATATTTATTGGACGGATCAGTTAGAACTGATGGGTAAATGAGTTCTAAAGGCAATGTATTAGAACAAGCACAATGCTTTCGGCAAAAGTTGCTGTTTTTCTGGAGATGGCGGGCAAACTGCGTCCATCGAAAACGATTTCAGGTCGTCATAACCGGTAATACAGGTTATTTTCATTTCAGTAATCCTCAGGGTGTTGCCTTTACGCTACTTTATGTAAACAGGCATTCATTGAAATCTCAATACTTCGGAGTAATATCCGAACATTCGAAAAATAGCAATGAGATACAGTAAATAAGCAATGAGGTAATGGAAATAGATTTATTTTTTTGTTTAGTTATATCGCTCGATACCCATGATATGTTGAACAGTTATATCTACACTTTTTAATCACGTCGTATATTTAGTCTCAGCTTAATATGGGGCTATATAGTGCAGCGATATCTTTACATCTACTAAAGCAATGACCGTTTTGGGGATTCTGGAGCTCGTCAACTTAATAGTAAAATACGGAAAGCTTTCAATATGTGTGCCTGGGTTTAGTTGACAGTACCAACCTGCTTTTCTGGTTCTAAAAGGAGAGTACACAACCCTACTTTAAGGGAGTGCTTAGAGCACTTTGACAATTTTTCGGATCTATTTGAGGAGTTCGTTAAATAACAGCAAAAGAGAGCTACTTGACTGTCAGAGATGCTACGAAATTCTCTCCGTGAGTGCTAGCAAGAAACAAAAAAGAACTCACTGTGGCAGGTGTGTTGTTACCGGGTTACCGGTCTCAGACGCTGCTATAGGCCCGTAGGAGCATCCGGCCTCGGGGCCAAGTGTTTTTGAAAATAGACAAATTTGTTCACTTTTATTCAACCGTTAACAATTGCAAAGTAAAAGCATGTAATAGCAGTAAGTGTGCCAGTGCCTATCGATTGGACCGTTTTCAGGTTTTCTACAATGGTCACACTAACTTAAATTGGCTTTCGATCTATGAATTTATAGTCTTATCTTATGCAAATTATTCGTTCACTAATCTGTTCTGAAACAAAAACAAAAACCCAAATCTGCATCTTAGACAAAAACTTCGTCACTTTGAGCGAAGACTACTACCGTAATAAATATACAAGAAATGCTGGTAAGTCTACTGTTTCGTAGCGGTTGGCGAGTCATCGGCAATTTTAGAAGGTCAAGTCGTTTGGTTGGCGATTTTAATCTTCATATGAACTGCGTGCATATGTGATCGCGTGAAGCTTGATTCCTAGAGCCCATTGGAGCCTATGATGGCTTATACGCAATTTGAGGCACGCACAATTAGAAATCCAGATGAACGTTGTTCGGATTAGGCGGTTTCGTTTTAACGAGTTGTTTTTAGATACTATAATCATATGGTGAACATCAACAGGTTCAACATAAATCGCTTATATAATACCATCAACCTGACTGACCAATTAATCAAAGTAAAATATAATGCAATCACATTTCAAGTTCTACTTATTTCAAAGCAATAATATTATAATACAACAACAAAGTTCTTGTTAACATTGAAAATTAAAGTAACAGCATTATCAGAATGCTTGCTTAACAAGATCTGTCTTTTCTGCAAGCATGAGGAGGTCTGAGAAATGTCTGAAAACGTAATTTCATAGTTTAAGGTGTGAACTTATCTGCAGGTCCATACGAAAAGTACTTATTACTGCTTTATATTCCGTAGTAGACGCATGGGAGATTCCCTGTTTCTCTAGAATAATATACGCAGAAAAATCTATAAATAATAGTAGAAAATAGTGACTAAGTGAAAAGCAAAACACTTCTTTGCAAGTAGATAAGTTATTCTTTATCACTTAATTACCCGGTATTTTAACTGCAAATTACTAAATTCCTCTTCTACACGGCTTTGTGAAGAATCAAACTCACTGGCTACGTAACAGGTATAATTTATATACGACATTTGAGAGGTTTGCGGGAGATTTCAGTGCCCTTTAAGTAAGCCTTAAAGTTACTTAAAATTTGAAGATCTGCGTATTTTACGTTTTCTTCATATTCCCTCATATCTCGAAAACATTTTACTTCTTCATAATGTTACAGATAGGTTCAAGTGTACTTAAGAGTACTGTGCTAAAGCTTACTTCCATGCGACAAAAGTAATTACTCGTGTGCTCCTTTAATTACTGAAACTCCAATGCAAGTGGCTATGAGATACTTGTTGAAAGAAGTGATGTTAATGCGAGTTTTTGGAATATATTTAGATTTATTTACATTCGTACGCTTACTTGTTACTACATTGTAGTGTGTGTGCTTGATAAGCAAGTATACTCGATCTCACTCTTCTACGATGTCTTTATATCAACAAAACATTATACAATTTTTAAAACTGTTTAATATTATTATTATAATATATAGTAGACAAAGCTATTAACCATAAGCAGTTTTATGTGGAAGCATTACTTAATGATTAAGATCTCTCACAATTTTCACTAAATGCAATATGCAACACCCGTAAATAGTTCCACTCGTTCATGCCTGAGTATGTTTTATTCTCGCAGAAATGGCCGTTTCATAATATTATGTGTTTATGTAGTTTTATATGCACAGCAATTGCCACTATGCAATCTACCCGATGTGGTCTTTTTTACAGTTAGTCGAACAAACGGTGTCAATAAACGTAATATAATAGCCATTTCCACCAAGGCACACAATACTTATTAGCGCTAATTGAACGCTACGCACTGCAACTTTATTTGTTGGACTGAGTCTCTTAATAGACGGAACTGTTCAGAATGTCCGAGGACCACACGGTGTGTATTGTAAACATGAAACCATGTGCTCGGACTGATGCTATTGAAAACAAGCTGAGAATTAGGAGCTTCGTGTTACTGATGGTCTGTTGACCGATATTTTTGATACGGTCGTCGTTACATGCTGTTGCTTAGCCATGGATAATAAAGCAGTGCAAAAAGGAACTGTTCTTACGTTTTGCGGTGCCAATTTTTTTCGACAACGGTTGGTTTTGGCTACACTCAGTCAGCGTTCAATTATCATTTCAAACATCCGTGAACATGATCTCAGCCCTGGACTCGCAGACTACGAAGCTGACTTCCTCAAACTAATGACTGAAATTACAAACGGTAAGAATGTACAGCAAAAAGCTTCTTTATAAAACCAAATAATTATTCGCGCCCGATTATAGACCATTGTGAGGAGTTGATGATTAATAGGTTGAGCCATACTATCAAATGGATCTCAGTTTTTTAAATTTGTGAAAGCAACAGTGAAATGTTTTTCGGTTTATTTTTAAATTTCAGCAAATTGAGATGAAAATCGATACCATTGCTGATAAAAAGGTAACCTCAATAATATGGCCGTCTTGCGTTGAATCACCTGCCAGCAAAGCTGGTCTCATCTGCAGAAATAAGTAGTTATATGTTTTTATCATGTGTATGCAGCCCATAAAAGATCAATATAAATTGAAGGCTGTATGACTGAAGTATTGTTTGAAGCTAAACTGATCTTATTCTCCCGAACGCGTTCAATTTCCTCAAAGTTAATGTCAGTCTTTTTTTGCAATTCAATTATGTATATATATTCTTATGTATTATGATCAAATTAATGCACGCTTGCTTTAGCATTCTCTCCGCCCGATAAGTTGTTAAGTGCGAATTTAATCAATCTTGTCCAATTTAATGCGGATTTTCATTATAGGCACGGAGGCGAGTGTTAACGAAACAGGTACAGAGATCTTCTACAAGCCAGGGGTCCTCCACGGCGGGAACATTGAACATTCATGCGTACTTTCAAAGTCCGTTACGTATTTTCTTGAAGGCCTTATATATTTGGCTCCATTTTGCAAGTCCGCCCTGAACGTTCGACTCTTTGGGATAACTAACGATTATATCGAACAGTCAGTCGATTCGTTCAAACAAGCTGCCTTACCCATTATCGGCAAGTTCATGTTTACTGATGGTCTTGACCTTGAAATCGTTAATCGGGGAGCGCCACCTTTAGGTGGCGGAGAGGTAAGGTTCAAAGCACCCATATGCAAAACGTTACGACCAGTGCAATTCACAAATCCTGGCAAAATAAAGCGAATTAGGGGCTGGGCCTTCAGTATGAAAACAAATCCACAAGTAACATCCAGAATGATTGATTCGGCGAAGGAGCTGCTGCTTAGATTTCTACCTGACATTTATATTTACACTGACGTTTGCAAAGGAAAAAAAGGTGGTAATTGTCCAGGTTTTGGGATCTGCCTTGTAGCAGAAACCAAAGATGGAGTATTTTACGCCGCTGACGCAATGTCTGATCCAAGCAAAGGCCGAGAACTAATGATACCTGAGGATATCGGGAAAAAGGCGGCCGTCAGACTTGTCCAAGAAATTTACCGCGGGGGCTGCGTCGATACAGCTAATCAAAGTTTAGTACTGTTACTTATGGCGCTTGGCCCAACAGACATCTCTAAATATCAACTTGGACCTCTTACACCATACACAATACAATTTTTGAGACATTTAAAAGATTTCTTTGGAATAACGTTCAAGATCGAGCAGGATCGAAGGCTGCCAGTTGATAAAAACTCTGGTGAAGCCCTAAAGCTAGGAGGTGACAAAGTTTTGTTGACATGTCTTGGCGTTGGGTACTTGAATTTCAGCAAAAAGGTGTCCTAATTAGGCATATTCATGTATATACTTGTATATATATCGTTAAGAAAGACGAATAAAGTCTGTACGATTGATGCCATGAACTGTATAGTGAGTCATTATTTTTCTATTATCGCGCTTTTATTGTTATTTTTTTTACCGAACAGCAGAACCACTTTTACACATCTTTAGTATCACACAACATATTAGGTAGTTAGTTCATTACTGCTAGTTAGACGTTTTAATTTAATACCGAAAAACGTTGCAATTTCAAATGTCGCCCATCAGGTGCACATTTTATTGCTAACTTCGATTGATAATTTTATGGCCTCAGATACATCCATAATTTGACATCCAAACTTCTTCAGTACTAATTTTGAATCCTGGAGTTTTGCATCGGTCGAAACTTATTTGGTCAATTTATTTGGTATATACACTGGTGGTTGCATAACCTAAACGGTTCACTTCGGTGTCGTCATCCTTTGATCAATACGCTGTGTCACTAAATCATTAAGTGCCCGTTCAAAATACAGTAAACTGTGTGTAGTTCAATAGCGTTTCGTTAATTCTCTGAAAGAGAAAGCTGCGTAAGCTTCGTAGAAACGGCGTGTCCATATGGGAAAACATAATTTTCGTGGCGCCAAACGCGTTCATTATCGTCTCTTCCCAATCCGCTGTCAGATTAATGTTTTGGTTTACTTGAAACGCATAATACGTCCTGATCTGTGCGTGATCAAGGTGGGCTTCTCGGGCAAGTAGTCCCGTAACATAGATATCATCAACCCAAAAAAACGGTACTTTGTAGGAAGCATTAACCAGGACCGTAAGAAGCTGTTTGGGAAGGATGTACGCGAGGCCACCACAATATGGCGGATTGTAAGGCAAACCGTACTCGACCTTTGAAACAAACCATTTCGATCTAGGACGGCGTGCCACACGAACACGGCGCCATACTAAACAGTGGATACGATACGGACGTTTAGGAATCTCGAGATGTAGATAACTGAAATACAAAATTCTGCCTTTGTTAGTCGTTTAGTGTACAAAAGATGTAAAGCGACGCAAAAACTCTAGTTCTCCGAGTTGTTTATTTTAACTTACCATAGTGACGGGCTATTAAATTAGACGCGTAATATTATAGGGTTAAGATGTGTGATTTCCTAAAATATGGAATCATTCAGAACTCTAGGGGTAATTTCTGGTAGAAGTGAAAAATATAAACCGGAATAATACAGAATAATATGACAGAAATATGCAGTTCCAGAATAATTCCTGCATGATCCTGGTCTTGAACCTTTCGTGTCAATATATAGTGAATTGTGTCGAAGCCCGACTCCATTTTCTTATATATGTTCGTGCGTATTGCGCTATCTTCAGGCTATCTACTAAAGAAAGGAGTATTTAGTATTCTACAAAAGCGACTAATTTACTGTTCTTGCGTTATTTACCTCTTCAGCATCGGAAAATTGACCCAAACGTCGTCATCCAGTTTGACAATATTTCGCAGCATTGGGTTGGCTCCGCACTCATTCTGAATCCATCGAATAGAATGAACAGATTTGGGGGTCAGATTGCGATAGGAGTCGACGAACGCGTCAAATATCACCATATCTTCGAACTGTTCCGCTTCTTGAAAAACCAGATGGGCAAGACTTTTGTTCTTGCTTTTTCCTAAGCGCACATCATATATTGACTGAAGATTACTATTAAATGCTTGGGGACGACTAGGTAGAATGAAAGATAAACAGTTGTTTTTACTTCTGTTAAACCGCGCTGATAGAGAAAAGTTCTTACTTTGAAAATTCCTTGTCCACAAAATATCGTAGCCCTATTATGAAATTAGTACAGCATTTTTCAAATCTCTTTGTCTTATGGAAGCGTTGATAATTGCCAAGTTGTTTACTAAACCACTTATGCCATTAAAAAAATAGCTCTTTTCGAGGTGCTTCAATAGAATATGTTTGTAGTTATAGTTTCAAATAGTATGTGCCCCGAGGAACGAGCACTTATACACTTACTCACTCACGATTGATGTGATCGAATAAAGAAACTTATGCTAGTGAGCAGTTATTAAACAAGGCTAGGCTTATTCGGTCATCCAACCCTGCGCCTGTCACCGGTCTGTCCCGCAATTTACTTAAAGTACCGTCAAGCCATTAATTATCTTGACTCGACTGATTATGGTATAGACTATATAATAGATGTTTTTCCAAGCTCAGTTAGTAGACACCTAACATCTGTCCTTCTTCAGCTGTTTCACTGTTATGTAATGCACAGAATTAAAACACTTGCTTAATTACACCAAAATTGCCTAGTATGTATTACCCTGGATTCAAAAATGGAACATAAAAACTAATCTATTTGCTAATACTAATGTATGCTACAAATAATTTAAAAAGGTATACATTACTTAGCACAAATTAGGGTTTAAGCTCTGCATAGTAGCATGTGCTAGCATAAAAAAACCTTGTATTTAGAAGGAAATCTTACTAATTTCAAAAGCAATTGAGTGTTTAAAACTGAAGCCTCGCAGTTACCTAGCATGAATACCACAGCTGTTTCCGGTGGCCTGTGGAGATAGCGTCGAAGTTCTTTTCTATCGAGAAATCGGTCAGGCGACGTATGCACATAGATCAGGGTTTTTAGGTGACCATTATGACACATAAATAGAATCTGAAAGCGATAAGGGGAAACACTTAGTAGATATTTATATTATATAAAATAAGAGTAAATTTATATACGTTCGATACCATCGCTGAGGGTAACTACTTTCTTTGATATATGTTAAGCAGAGAGACCTTTTGACTAAACCAGTTTGTCAAGAGAAGCAATTTATTTCGCATATATACGGAAAGAAATTTAATTAATACTTTATTCTTTTACTTTTTTATTATTTTATTTATTATTATTATTATTATTATTATTATTATTATTATTATTATTATTATTATTATTATTATATTATTTTAATTTGTTTATTGTTATTATGATTATTTAACTCTTAATTAACTCTTAACTTAAAATTAACTCTTAATACTTTATGTATATTGTGGTCGCTAGGTTATTAGACAGGCATCATATATATCTACATACATTGTTACTGGTAATCTCCATCTGTCTACCTCTACACTCCATTTTCGTTCACACTTAAAATTGCGACTATTATGACGGACTAAAGATGCTTTGAGTTTTTTTAATGGATATTTTATTGAAGCTTTCTTTCAATTAATTTATTCAGACCCATTATCACTATTGTACTAGGTCGCGATGGTGACATTAACGTCTGTGGTAGAAAAAAAAATATAATCATATTAGTAGATTAGTCTTTCGTTTGTGTTTGAAAACGGCTGACCGAAAAACGCAGGACATCACCGTCAAACAGTCACCACCAGCCTTTACCGTGTTACCCACTGTATTTACTGTGTTTCAATAGTATCCGCTTCTCTAAAATTTACTAAAATTGTTAAAAAAAAATACTAAAGAATTGCTAGTTTTTATTCTTGTGCGTGCACCTTTGTGTAGAATCTTTAGATAAATTTTAACTATCTTGTACGACAAGGCGTGTTCATTTCATCATCACGTCTAATATCCGATTTGTTATGTGATATTTACGGTTCACATTTTGTATGCCGTGACTCTACGTAGAGTACAGTAAGATATCTACATTTTCATGTAATACAAAGAATTGAACCTGATCTATTCCGTTTAAACACCAGTTAAATGAGGTTGAACTTATCGTAATCGGAAAATGTAAAAGGATGTGCTAAATCAAAGTAGTGGATTTATATCAATGGAATATCAAGGCATATAGTCTGCTTTGGGGAAGAGCTGGACACGTTGTTGACTCTTGGTTAAGATAGCTCGAGGATCACATCTTGAGTAAAATGGAATAACTTATAGTTTGTAAGAGTACTGTTATAAGCAGTGTTGTACCATTCATTAGCCGCGACATTATTTCTAATTATCACTAACTTAAAATCAGAGCTAAATAGAATTTTTGTAAAATTGTAGCGTAGTACACGACACGGCATTTGGCGATAAGCGTAATACTTTCCGGATTATTGCTCAATAATAGACACCTTTCGGACGCTACAGTGACTGGATCATAGCTCACTCTTTATAAGACTGAGTTGTGGGCCAAGAATGAATATTAGCACATCAGTCATACGGACTTATGACTTAATAATCAGCGATTTTTCTATTAAATATATATAATATATATATATATATATATATATATATTTAATAGAAATGTGTGTATATGTGCAAACGAACGTCTGAAATTTTACTGTAGGTAGCCTTATGTGTTTCTCGATTAGGTGTGGTGATGCTTCCTAAGCCGGTTCACAAATACCAAATTATTATTGGTGGACTCCTTGCTATCGATCATATGGCATTGAAACAACTGTAGGTCCGTCACGTTGAGTTATCTGAGATCGGCTCTTTAGTATTTTCTATGCCTTAACGTTCGTATCTCGGTATTTTCGTGCGTCCATTTACCGAAGCCTATCAAAAGGATAGGATGACTATTATATATATTTTTGCATGCTTACCAGTTATGGTTATGCATATGATTAGAGCACGGCGATGTCGATCTCTCGTACGAAAGAAAGTGTTGATTAACAATAGAAAAGCAATAGTTTGACAAGACCTCTAGAGCATAATGGTAAACAACGCATTGTAGCTTGACTTGAACATGTGTTGCGTACATAACACAAAGAAAGTATTAAAATAACTTATGAAAAAAATGTTTGACTGCTTTAAAAAAATATTAGCTTGCTTATATTACTAGGTTGCATCGCTTATTTTTCGCCTCCCTGGAACGTTATTGGAAAATAGTCAAAGTTTATCAAATAATTGTACAATAGTTTACCTGGAATGCCGTATCGTTCCTGTGATTTAGCCATGAAGATATAATGTATGTAAGCCATACGTAGTCTATAGCAGTGAAAAACTTATTTAAGCAGAACTTCCGAATGTTCGTGTTATTCTACCGTGTTTCTCCGGTTGGTGACTCCAAAGTGGCAATATGCCGCGTATAACTGGTGCATTGCTTAACTGTAGTTGTACATACAAACGTAAGGCGTCATACTAAAACAAGCAAACTAAATGAAAGAGATTTGTATGCAAAAATTAATAAAACGCTAACAACCAGGCAATACGTTCATAATAAAGCTATTGTTGCGTCATAATCTGTTAAGGGTCAGCTGTTCATCAATACATTAAGTTGATTGTCACTGGAATTTAGATGGCGCACTGCACAAACGTCAAACGAAATGGAGGTGTATAAGGATGACCTAGCGGTAAATGCGTCAGCGGACCTCATACCATACCATTCCAGAACAGAAGATATAATTGTAGATGGAGTATTTTAAGGAAACAGTCAACAAGTGCTTATTTCATAAGGAATCAGCAAGTTAATGAGCTAAGTGCTTTTTAAACATGGAACTATTTGAAATCCTGTTTTCTAATAACTACTTTAAACTTTATGTATTATATGACCTACATTTCATTGAAGATACTAGCTCTTCGCGGAGGCAGGCATAGTCATCAAGTTCTGGACTGCCCATTAACGAGCGAAACTTACTCGACGCGGTTCAGATCGTCGTGTGAGATCTTCATTCGTATGGGGAGTTGCTCTGCGATCTGGCGGATCTATTAGGCTAAACTTTCGCACGGATTGTATTCTATTATTTGGTTGGTTAAGGATTATTAACATTATAGCGGTTATAAGTATAACCAATAAGAGCTGTCCGGACTTGATGAAGTCGTAATCGCAACGCTTGACCTTTACAACGAACCAACATACACCATTCTAAGCTGCGCGCTTTCACCAGCGTAGCACGGAAGGCGGAAAGAATCACTGTCGATAGTAAATGGGTCCACCAAACCAAACGAATGCGTCTATGTGTGCAATAGTTTTTTTGATTTCGTACACTTGTTAACGTTTTTTTCTTTTCTTTAGTAATTCCTTCCATATCAACCCTACTAGATTTTTGATATGTCTAAGTCTAATATGTTCCTATTGATAGGTTCCTTTAACAAGTAAGGGCCCCGTGGCATCTAACAGCAATCTGACCGGAAAGCCGCAGTCACCTATTTGCTATACAAATCAGTTCGATACACCTTGTATCCTGTGCGATCTGTTGATCAAACGTCGTCTTAAAGGTATAATAGCCTGAAGCTACATAGGTAGCATTTCGAAATACATTGCTCAACTACGATCACCTATTATTGGGAAAGGGTGAACGGCAAGAGGACTGTCATTCGCGCTCTGTGTAGGTCCCACAAGGACTAACTAAACAAGCAAATATCCTTTTTATGACAATAGTTGGTCACTAATGTCAGAGTCGCGCTTTTCCTTGGAGCCTCAGAGATACGTCGTTTAACCCAAATCACGTAAGACCATACAATTTGCTATAGCGCGCAGTGCTGGCTAGGTACGGGTAAACTCTAGCTGTACATTTCTCGTCGGTGGCAGGTACCGACGAGACCTTTTGAGGTTATTGGTATCAAAGGCAGGCGACGTTTTTGGTTGGAATACGTCGTTCTGCTCAAAGAATCCAGCTTTCCGTGGAAGCTTCGAGGCAGAGCTACTGATTTCGCTGCTGCCATTGCAGAGTTTTGGGATTCATGAGGGGCCATGAACGCGGACTGAATAATAACATAGGTGAGTCGTAGAGCGTATCCAACGAGGAGAGTATGACCAGCAAAGGCTCTGTTCTTTTTCAACGACTGTCCAGTGTGGAATATCATGTGAGATCACCTGGTTAATTAACCGTACGGTACAAGGCAGGATTTCTATAAAGAAGGGAAACACTGACCGTTAGCTATAGAAGCAAAGTAATTTTGATAGTAGACGGTCTAGGCGGCTTTTCGAAATTTCCGGAAAATTAAGATTTACACGTCGATTAAGCAACTCTGAACGTCATTTAATGAACGTCTAGGTGACCGCAAGCGATATTTGCTACGTAGCTATATGACAAATTTAATAGATTTATAGACAGATTTAGTAGATTGGTAAATAATTTAACACGAGCCTTTCAGTGGAACTATAAAACAGCTGTGGATGGGCCAATTATATCCTATATCCGTCCTGAATATATATTTTTTTAAGGTACAGTGGTACGGGCAAACAAATAGGATAACGCCATAAAGACCTATTTTAACACATATTTAATTTAGGCCATACTAGAGGAGAGTCACTTCTACTTAATCATTCACTAAGGCTACAAAAAATCAAATGCGGTCTTGAATTATTCTTTTTGACATTTATATATACCTAAACCGCAGGATTTGTGAGCGCAGTGCATCGATAAAGCAAATGTAACGAATGGCATTTTTTAATTATTTTTTTCCCATATGTAAGTAACTTATCATCCTTGACCTGGTTTCGAAATATATTTTATGTAGGTTGATTACATAACCCAGAAAAATATTTTTTGTTAGAAACATCTGTTTCAAGATCTCGTGTAACATTTTTGGCGAACTCTTTCATAGAGCCACCGCTCAACTGCAGCTAAATGGTTTACATGTGACCATCCTTGCAATTTCCACACTGAAGTTACTTATACAACTTCCTATATTTAAGCTTGTAACGTTAACCTCTGACATACTACGTGTTTTCATACGTGTCATAAATGCAAACGAAACATGCAAGAATAAAATAGTGCAGTCATTTTCTACTCGTGCCATATTTTTGAGTTCGTATCAATGTGTAAAAAAAGATCCGTGTTTGCCGACATGTCGACGAAAACAAATCGGCCATTATTCCTTTAGGTGGATGTCTGTATAAAAGGACTCTGTTTTTGGAAACAACAAAAGATTCGTCATTAGACTGTCAGGAATTGTTAGGCGGGTCGAAAAATTAGCTTGAATAACTCTTGAGTAACGCACCGAAAGGAGACGACTATCAATAGTTAAGTGGGACCATATAGGCACAAATATGCTTAATGCAACTATTGAAAATAGGCGGTGCCACGAAAGCGAGAAAAAAAGTTACAGCAACACATTGGCCAATGACTTTTCTAATATATATATAATAGGTTCGCTTAAATTTATCCACTTTCAAAAAATATCAGCCCAACGATTTCGTGAAAAGTGGCCAGTCATTCGACAAAACTAAATAAAAAATG